GGCTGCTACCACGGGTGCATAATGTTCTCTGGAGAACAAAATTTAATTATGACTTCCAAATATGTATATTCTATGATAATTAGCAATCATCTTCATATCATGATATTTAATCATGAATATGATCACAAGTTATCAATCAGCTAAAATGTGTAAGATGAAATCTGTACAGGAAATGATGGCTTTCGTGCTTACATACCAAGAAGCAGGCATGAGACAAATAGGAAAAATTACATTTACAATATATTCTATGATTTAAAGAAATTATGAACTGGAAACATATTAAATTTGTTCTGAGGTATTTCGCGTTTAAACTTATGTCAACAGAACACGAAATGAACTCCTTTGCTTATATTCTATGACATTCAGTCATGTTGTATATCGTATTATTATCAGATGATCACAAGATACTCAGCTAAAGGGCGCAAGATGAAACCTTTCATCAAAAGTAGTGTAACATCTTTTAATATAAAACTAGGAGAGCAACATGACCATATTTACTCAGAAGGCTCTCATCTCAAATAATTTGGATACGATCACTGCTTTAAGTGATTTCAAACTTTTCAGGGGTGATTTTCATCCACCAAGAAAATTCAGGGCAATATTTAATATGGCACTGCTGTCTGTTCAAATACTGTACGTTGTTAGTCAACCTTTAAAGTTTTAAATTTAGTGACATACCAAGCTCCATCAGCCTGTTTCTTACTTACTTGCCCAGTACAAGGACGCGGGTATAGACACCTATTACTAAACTCTAAATTAAAGTCTCTTTTTTATTGATCCTTTAATCATTTCCATAACTCAGCCCTTACTGGTGGTTTTATACCAAACTCAATTGGCACTGAACTTTCCAGCGAGCCAGTAAAGGACAGGGGAAAACAAGAAGAAAACAAAGCAAACTGTTACTAACAAAATAATCTACAACAACCCGCTACTCCAAAAAATGTCAACAATTTTCTCAAGTCTGCTACATACCAAATGAATACGGTATAGGGTGAAAAAGACTTAACGAAGGACAGAAAAAAAGATTATATTCCATTGCTTTCAATTTAAGACAATTTGTGAGCTTGAGCTACCTTGGGATCTGTAATGATTCTATAGTACCTTAATCGGTTGGCACTTCCGTTATTTGTATTTCCGGTGTTTTGGCCATGACGCCTTGCGAAGCTCATGTTACTATTCATTCGGCCATATTGCCGCTCAGCATAAAGTAAAACCACACAGTTTGTATGTTATGACTCAGAATCTTTGCATGGTGTCAGAAGTAAAAGCGAAAACAACAAAGCAATGGCTCTGAGCGGCATAGAATGCCCCCAAATGCACTGGGACGGTGATAATCTTAAAGAAAATTGGCGTCGCTTCAAACAGCACATGGAGGTCATGTTCTCCGGCCTGCTCAAATCACGCCAAGAAGCCGAGAAATGCAGCTACTTAGTTATCTGGGTCGGACAAAAGGAACGAGATATCTACAATACGTGGACTAACATCACCAACGAGGACAAGAGTAAGTTGAAAACATATTACGATCGCTTCGAAGCTCACGTCAGTCCAAGAGCAAACCCTGTCTTCGCCAGATCTAAATTTCACGGCCGTGTTCAAGGATCGTCCGAAACAGCTGAGACGTTCATCACAGATCTACGCATCCTCGCCCAAAACTGTGATTTCAAAGATCCTGACGAAATGATACGCGATCGCATTGTATTCGGCACTAACTAGCCCAAAGTGAGAGAAAAGCTAATAAGTAAAGGGTCCGCGCTAACACTCGATAAAGCGGTGGAACTTGCTAGATCATTAGAAGCATCTCAACACAACTATCTGCCATGGCGGGCAGTAGCACTAATAACTCTGAGGAATCGGTTTTCTTGGTCCAAAAACAAAACACGGGGAAAGGACCACAGGGAACCCAACCATCAAATTTTCAACCCCAAAGAGGAACACGGTTATGCGGAAACTGTGGTTGCTCCCACAATTCACTCTCTAACTGCCGAGCACGTTGTCAGACATGTCAGTACTGTAAAAAACCAAGCCACTTTGCTGAAGTCTGTAGATCAAAACCCCAAAGACAACGATTTCACTCTTTAGAACAAGCCGGAAGCCAAGCCTCACAGACAAAAGCCGAATCAACATTATCAGCAGCATTTGAGTTGGTTGTCTTCGAATCAATCACCATAGCTGGTGTCTCGCTCAGAGAGACTAGTCGTTATAGAGATGAAGTGTTCGTATCAATTAATCTAAACCTGCCACAGGACACCCACAAGAACACCATCCTTAAAGCCAAACTTGACACCGGTACACAGGGCAACATACTCCCGATGCGGCTCTATTGTCAAATGTATCCGCACAACCTAGACGACCATGGAAGTCTCAGACCAGGTTCCTCGTCATCCGCGGACGTTATCCTTACTGCCTATTGCGGCGCACAAATCAAACATCACGGTACTGTTACCATACCTTGTTCCTACAAAGGGGAAACGCTCGAGCATCCTTCTATGCCACAGACACCCCAGGCCCAGCGATAATAGGCCTCCCGACTTCCACCGACTTGAAGCTGCTGACACTTAACTTTTGTATTGAGGAAAATGACCCCACACCCCGCAAAAGTACAGTTTCCAAGGAGCAACCCATTAAGGACAAACAGGACCTGATCAGTCAGTATCCCGAATGCTTCAATGGAGTGGGAAAGTTTCAAGGCGAATATCACATAGTACTTGACCCTAATGTCCCTGCAGTTGTCCATCCCCCAAGGCGTATGCCAATCAGCCTCAAGGACGACATCAAAAGGGAACTAGACGAGATGGTTAACAATGACATTATAGCAAAGATCAAAGAAGGCGAACCTACACAATGGGACAACAGCCTTGTTTACCACCGCAAGCAGAACGGGAGGTTGAGGCTCTGCCTGGATCCCAAAGACCTCAATGCAGCCATTCAGAGAGAACATCATGTTACTCCAACCCTAGAAGAAATCCTACCAAAGCTAGCTAATGCTAAAGTATTTTCTATAGTGGAGGCAAAATGTGGGTACTGGAACGTGGTCCTGGATAAAGAATCTAGTTACCTCACTACATTTAATTGGCCATGACATTGTAGTTTTCAGGAAGACCACAGGGGAACACGACCGCAACGTGCACGCGATACTTATGAAGTGTGATTACCGCCAAAATTAATACTTGGTATTATGCTATTGAATCCTGCAGTTTTGTAATTGCGTTCCGACATCTTGGTTTTGGAACCTGCTTTTTTGTTATCAGTTCTGGTATCTTGCTATTGGAACCTGCTCTTTCCTGATGTGTTTTGGTTTTTTTGCTACTGAATCCTGTTGTTTTGTTATTGTGTTATTGCATTTTGTTATTTTGTTCTTGCATTCTAGCATTTTGCTATTGGAACTTACAAACTGCACTTCTGTCATTTCGTTTTGAGATCTTGCTATTGAAAACTGCTCTTTTGTTATTGCTTTGTTCGGAGGGTGTTATCCACCTCAGCCAAACACCCTCCTTGATCTGCAGAATTCTTCATATCCTACGAAAGCCGAATTCAATAATTGCTAAATACACCTACGGCACACGAAGCTGTCGATTGTTTGTTTGTTATCTTTGGGACATATTAGGCAAAAGAATCTGTGACATTACCCTAACCAATATCTGTCAATGTATCATTGTATGTGTCTGTGAAACAGGATTCTGGGAGTGTTCCAAAAGTTGCTTGTATCAACTGTAGTCTTGAGATTCCAGTAACTCTTGTCAGACAACATTTGGCTGTCTGCTGCAATCACGATGATTTGTAAGTACAATTTGCATGTTAAAGTAATGAAAAATACAGTGTAGGTTGTCTTGAAAAGTGATCAAGGTTTTTTTTTTCTATCCCATGCTTTTGTTGTTTGGTCACATGGTCTCACTCCTTCTTGAGTCAAAGTGGGTACCAGAGACCTATCTGCACCTGAATAATAACTAATCCCTAAATTACAATTTCTTTTACCATCATGGCAGAATGTTGAAAACTCGAAAAGTTTGTTTCTCTGGAGAGACCTTAAAATGCCAACAAATATTTCAGTTCCATACATACATTTTACATTACATACATGTTATTACTACGTTTTTAGGTAAAAGTACAATTGATACATGCCCGCGGTTAGCAAAACTAATCTAGGCGGGTCATGTTTATATTATATCAGTTGATAGAAACAGGCAGTTTGTGCTGATTTATAATCTTATCCTTTGGGTAGGCCAGACACTGCTTGCTGTGATGGAACAACAAGTACAGAATCCATAACTCAAGTGAGGACTTCAGTCATTATACACGTGTAGACTAAATTTTAGTTATACCAGATGATTCTACAGTCCAGCACACCACCTACATCTAATTCCTTTACCATCTACGTGTTTATCATTTTATGCAACATGGCAATATACTTTTTATGGAATGGGTAGATTTTATATTCACCTCTATCAGTTTAGTGCTTAATATGCTGTTTGCATGAGCCATGAGTAATTTTCAATTAGGGAATTTAATATTAAATCATTGTGAAACTGTAATTGAACTATTTGTCTAATTATATCAATGAGTTTAATTTTATTAGTAAAATGTTGTGCTTTTAGGCCCCTGTACTTTTAAGTTTTCCATCCAGTTCCACTAGTGATGTGCATGCCACTTTCAATAACAATTAGAGGGGTGAAAAATTCAGTAGTTCCACTTTCATAATGTCTAGTACAACTGTCTCAGTTCATTGTAAGGATTTATTGTGTTCTCACGTGTAAATGATAATGCAGTGTAGTTGGTTGTGTTTGGCAAGCTTTGGAGCAAAACTATGAAGTAACAAATTCAGACTACATGCCATAACGAAGATGCATGTGTAATCTTACTGTATGAACATAGTTTTGTGATTAAGTAGACCTCTAATCATTTTCATCTACTGTAGGACCCTGTTGCTGTAGCAGAGCTGCAGATCTTATTCCCAGATAAGGATGAAGATTCTCTAAGAGATGTACTTAGCATGTGTGAGGGAAACTACAGTTTAGCAGCTTCCTTGCTTGTGAACTGGGATGGTAAGTGACGCATATAGTTATCTTAAATAAACAGACCTGTTTTTCTTTACAGGGAATTGGGTTCATTGTGGGTTAAATACATTTTTTCTAATTTGTCCCATATAATGGATACATGTTCAGTGCTCAGACCCCCCTCCTCATGGGGGATCCAGTTTTGAATCCAATACCTTCTTTTTAGACACTCTCCCAGAAATTACAGTGTACATGTAAGTCCTCTCCTAAAAATTAGTCCCCCTTGTTTTGAGTTGTACTTATACATGTATGGTAGAAAAGCTGTTCCGTATCTCACAAAAGCAACTCCCATACAGGTGAGCTACCTTGAAAGAAAGACAGATGAGGAAAGTTGTTTTTCATGGCATAATGAAATGAACAGACTTTACAGACAAACCTCCTGTAAGCGCTTACGGGAGGTGGTCGCTCATAAGAGCTTAGACCCTATCTGGTCAAAATTTTGCGGCATGATTAGCATATGGTAACTGCAGAGAGTTGCCCAATGTTTTAAATGTCTTGTTCATGTATAAAGTCAATTTCAAGGAAAAATCCTATCTGGTATTTTGCATATAGAAATACCTGTCTCTTTTACTATCCAGGAAAGCAATTAATGTCACAACAACTTATCCAATTTACGCTCTATTATCTGTCATTTGGTCACTTACAGAAAGGTAAAAACGAAAGAAAATTTTAAACTTGTAGCTCTTAAAGTGGTTGCGGTTGCTTACGAGAGGTGGTCGCTTACAAGAGGTTCCAAATATAGTGATTTGACTTGGAAACTTTTGGTACTTTGGAAAACTGATCGCTGAGGAGAGGTGGTCGCTTACAAGAGGTGTTCGCAACCAGAGGTTCAAGTGTATTTATGTTACATCCACATTCTCTGTCCTCTATAGAAAACCAGCGCTTGTAAGCGCTTACGGGAGGTGGTCGCTCATAAGAGCTTAGACCCTATCTGGTCAAAAATTTTGCGGCATGATTAGCATATGGTAACTGCAGAGACTTGCCCAATGTTTTAAATGTCTTGTTCATGTATAAAGTCAATTTCAAGGAAAAATCCTATCTGGTATTTTGCATATAGAAATATCTGTCTCTTTTACTATCCAGGAAAGCAATTAATGTCACAACAACTTATCCAATTTACGCTCTATTATCTGTCATTTGGTCACTTACAGAAAGGTAAAAACGAAAGAAAATTTTAAACTTGTAGCTCTAAAAGTGGTTGCAGTTGCTTACGAGAGGTGGTCGCTTACAAGAGGTTCCAAATATAGTGATTTGACTTGGAAACTTTTGGTACTTTGGAAAACTGGTCGCTGAGGAGAGGTGGTCGCTTACAAGAGGTGTTCGCAACCAGAGGTTCAAGTGTATTTATGTTACATCCACATTCTCTGTCCTCTATAGAAAACCAGGCAAGCTCATCCTCTTATCTGGTAGATGAGAGTAAGGATGATGGCAATGACAGGGACTTGATGCAATCAGCATTCAGTTTGAATTATTCGAGTAATTCAGGTATTGGATTTATTTGGAGATTTACGTCCCTCAGTTTTTTATCCAGGTTAGAGCCCATATGAACATGTAAAAGATACATGTGTGCATGTACATTATTTTGTTTTCCAATAGCTGTTGTTGTGTTGTTGTTTGTAACTGAATATGAACTGCCTATACCTTTATTTGTATTTCTTTAGCTGAAGATCTACAAAGTATCATGGGGAAGCATAGACAACAACTAGACTCTCAAGAATGCAACAGATTGAGTGTACACCGGGAACAACTCTGGGAGGACTGTGTGGTGTTCTTTAAAAACCCAAAGTTTAATACAAGATATCCCTTGAGAATCAGATTTGCTGGAGAAGCTGGGCTTGACGCTGGAGGACTACGTCGTGAATTTGGCTCTCTCTTAGTCAGTAAGTTGTTCTCCTCAGAAGCCACGTTATTTGAGGGTAGTGATGATCGAAAAGTTCCTGTATACAATGCTGATGCTGTACATTCAAACCTTTTCCACTTAGCCGGAAAGATTTGTGCCTACCTATTGTCCCGCCTAGGCCTTGGTGTATCTTGCCTTAGTCCAGTGATTTATTCTTACATTACAACTGATGAAGTACATGAAGCACCAAAGCAATGCACCCTGGAAGATATACAAGACTGCGACTTGCGTAAATTCATTGAAGAGGTATATATGTGGATGCAACTTGTAAAGCTGCCTTTCTTTTGGATTCTAGTATTTCCGAAGTTCACATTATCTTCATATGTTTGTAACTTATTTACATTTTGAACCTTATTGCAAACTGCTAGATGGTGGTGGCCCCAGCACAAATTAAAGTTTGGGTCCCTCTTACATGATTGTTATGATGTAGTCCCCTCCAAAGAATAACACAAAAAACTCTTTAACAGTAGGTGGTGAAAAGACGGTTTCCTTGTGGCAAGTTTACAAAGGGGCCTGAAAAAATATTCAGCCATTCACACATGTTATAAAAGGAGAACTTACCCGGATACCTTCTCAATTCTGAGGATTAATAGTGCTAGTTTACAATAGTCGTGCTAGAAAAATAGTATTTTTTTTGTATACTGCTTTGATTAAATAAACAATAGCCTCCATTTGGCGCGAAAATATACTAGGATATTTGTACGCGGACATTATCTGTTGCGAGAAGCGAACAGTTTTCCTAGAGCGTAGCTCGAGGGACACTGAGCTTCGAGGAACAGATAATGTCCAAGGACAAATATCCGAACATATTTTCGCCCCAAATGAAGGCTATTGTGTTTATTATCCTTCAAATCTTTTTTGCAACGCACGAAGTTTTGAAAATTGGGGAATATTCGGACATGTGATGTGTTTAGACCAATTACGTGCGAGCGAAAATATTTGATGGATTATGATTGGGAATATCTTTGAACATGTAGGTGAATAACGCGAGCTCTAATGACGAACTTCAGAGAATCTTGGATGGGAATGATCAAACGGACGCACTGCTAGCAGGAGGATGGGTGCGCGTCTTAACCATGGAAAATAAAGGCTTGGCAATGTGGCAGTTGATGATACGTGAAGTTATTTTGAAGAGAAAAGTAGCACTTGACCAGTTTTGTGCAGGTTTAAACGTTCTAGGTGTCCGCGAATTGTTGATGGCTCACAGCAAAATGATGGACCCCTACTTTGTTGCAAGGGAGCAAACTCCTCTCAGCGCCAATGCTGTTCTTGCACTGTTCAAAGACATCTCACAGCAACAGTCAGATGCCAAAAAGGAGCAAGCCCGGCAGCATCTGATCAAGGCTATAACAGATCTGGATGTTGAAGGTGCAGTTATGTTAGAATACCTTATATTCTATTTCATTTGTTCTATTTTAATCAGTATCTTTATTCACACGACCCCACAAGCTTTATGCTTTAGCTATCTTGTTTTTGAATACTTCCTTATAATAATGCCCATGGCTTTACAGAAGGCACTGCCTCGTTTGGTTTGTCCTCACTGGCATTGATGTAGCAGTGATGTAGGATGAAAATAATATCAATTGTCATGTCCTTGATGTTAACTTACGGAGCACTTAAGGGGAAAGGAAGATAGTAAAAGCACCTACATCTCTCCCTGTTTTTATAGATTTTAGATTTGATGTTAAAAAGTGTCTTGTTTCCTTTCCTTGTTGCAGATTCCAAGACCGACCATCAACATTTTCTGCACTTCTTGACAGGCCTTTATAGAATTCCTCCATTGGGACTAGAAACGCATCTAACAATCACTTATAAGGAGGACACGTCTAAGACTTTCCATGCCGAAACTTGTGCGTACAACTTGAATGTACCTACAGTCCATGATACCTATGAAGAATTCCAGCACTATTTTCTTCTGACCTGCCGAGTTGGTTATGTGGGCTTTGGCCTAGTTTAGCGTCACTTGTAATACCGCTTTAGGCTTACTAGCCTAATACCCAGTCTTTGGGCCTTGATATGAATGTTTGCAAGGATCTTCTGAACTAGCCACTGTTAAAAAAAAAAATTCTTGTTGTGTTTCATTAGGTAACGCACCAAATATACTTCCTATAATACAGTCCTGTTGAGTTTTAACTTGATTTCCTTATTGATGTTATTGACAGTAATGACTACGATGACTTCGTTATTGATGCATGCAACGAAGTGGGGCCTAGAACAGAAACTTCTACAGTAGGAGTACATGGTTTCGTTCATTTCAGTTCGCATCAATTTAGGTATTTGTTATTTCAGTGGAGCGCAGGGATGTGATTTTGATATTTAAATTGTTATTTTCAATACCTTATATCAACATTCCTGGTATACGGAGTATCAAGAAAGAGCTTAATAGTTCCTGTTTAGCACTATCCCTATATTGTAATCACAAAGAAGCTTGCAACATTGTTGCTAAACGTTATGATGATCATGGAAAAAATTTGTCAAAGTTTATACCTGACAAATAAAGTTGTTTTTAAACATCTGATTTCCTTTATTCTATCCCAGTGACATCTTCACTGTCATCAAAGTCAGACATTCCTCCATTGTTGCATGAATGTAGTGCATTCAAGTAAATATCGACACCATAATACATGGAAGGTTCAGCAGGATCCACTTGCCTCGCAAGTGCCTGTACGCCTTGGGAGTCGAGAGCGCAAAACGTTTCTGGAACCCGAACAATGACGCTGTCATCTTCAACTACTCTGTCCCACTCTTCGGGTAGGGCAGGTCCGTCCCAGTCGATGCCATATGCATTTACATTCACCTGCAAAAAATGTATACTACATGTAGTTATATTTCTTTGATTGCTCAGGCTAACGTGTTATCGCACACATATAGTGTAAGTAGACTCCTCCACAAACAAACACAAAACTACACACGTGTATGTATACCCGCGGATCCAAATTTTGCATTATATGAACTTGAATCATCAGAAATTGAATACCTGGCCATTGAACTCTTCTGCAATTCTGCCAGTGGAATTTGACAGCATTCCTCTAATCCATAGTTGTTCTGGCGATTGGTTATGCTCAGTACTAAGTGGTCCCCTGTTGTGACCCTCGGCAAACAAGGAGGTTTCTGTTAATAAGGGGTAAGAACACATAATGGAGTGCAGCCAAATCGGCTGGTTAAGGAATCTCTAATGTCTCATCGGAAAGAAATTAGCAATGTAACCCCAGCTGCGGTTGGTCTACCAGAAGGGTCTTCATCTTTCACCAAGAATGCAAGCAGTCCTATTCCAGGCTAAAAAAGTTAAAGAAGAGCTCCACTATCAATATTGCTGGTCAAAGGGCCCCGTTATTTGTTTACGAAAAGACTCCACATCGCGGATAATCAAGCTCAAGAGCATGGCGGACCTCGACGAACTTAAACGTAAATTGGCCATTGAAGGTTAGATTTTACTAAAAATGTCTATTGTACACGATAAAAAATGACTTCTCACAAAACAAAGAAACAGTGCGCGATCGAGAATAAGACCTTACTCGCGCAATTACCATATTATAACTGTAAAGTCCTGACTTCTGCCCACCCACAGTTTAATAGTTTAATTGATGATAATCGACCTTCTAGAAAATTGCTAGATTCTCTCAGTAGTCTCTACGACCTTAGTGTATTCCAGCTAAACTCTCTTGATAAACATATTGATCCTGATATAAATCTCACCTCAAACAAAATACGCTCAAAATATTATTCCCCACACAGCTTTGCGCAGTTTGTTGACAGCAAACAGTTGCAATCAAAAATCTCCTTTCTACATACAAATATACGTAGCTTAAAGAAAAATTTTGAAGAATTTCAACATCATGTTTTAAGTGAAATGAATTTCCGTTTTACTATTATTGGTGTTACAGAAACTCGTATATGCGATCGTGAATGTAGTTTTAATTTTGTACCAGAATTACCAGGATACTGTTTTGAGTCGGTCCCAACACCTTTATCTGCCGGTGGTGTTGGCCTGTTCATTGATCAAAATTGTAAATACCGCGTCCTTGAACGAGTCTCCAATTCTTGCTATCAAGCCCTATGGATTGAACTTCATCTGCCTAACAATAAGAAATCTGTATGTGGTGTCACTTCTAGGCAACACAATAACGCTAATGAGTTTCTAGAATACTTGACAGATTTTCTTGAACGCCAATGCCGTCAAAATCAAAATATTTATCTCATGGGAGACTTCAACATAGATCTGTTAAAATATGAAACTTGTAGTTACACACAAACCTTGCTCCAAACAATGCAAAGTTTTTCAATGTTCCCAGTGGTTGATAAGCCGACTAGAGTCTATGGTAATTCAGCAACTTTAATTGACAATATTTTCATAAATAATCCTGAGAATAATATAGTCAGCGGCAATATCGTCTCCGATACAACAGATCACTTCTCTCAGATGTGCATATTATCGTCGCACTGTAAACCATTCTTTCCAAACAACAAAACTAAGTTTCGTGACTATTCTACCTTCAATGCAAAGTCTTTCATTGACGACTTGCAGAATATTAATTGGAATAATATTTGCAAACATATCGATGCCAATCAATCGTTTTCCAGGTTTTACAAATGCGTCAACAAGACAATTAACAAACACGCTCCTTTAAGAAGTATATCCAATCGTAAACAAAAATTCCTTGCTAAACCATGGCTGACGGCGGGTTTAAGAAAATCAATCAGGGTAAAGAATAACCTCTTCTATACCTCAGACCGTGACAAATACAAATTTTACAGAAATAAAATCATCTATCTTACGAGATTAAGTAAAGCGAACTACTACCAAAGTTTCTTTGATCTCAACATATGTAATATGCGTCAAACTTGGAAAGGAATTAACGAGCTAATTGGAAACTGTAAAAAAAAAAAAAAGCGCAACTCAACTAACTCTATTCGCTCAAACCCGAATGAGGTTCCAACTAGTGACCGAAGGAAATAAGCAATATTCTTAACAAATATTTCGCCACTGTTGGGAGCAAACTGGCTTCTAAAATTCCTCAGACCAAAAATACATTCTATGATTATTTAGATCCGCCACTTAATCGCACTTTCTTCTTTGATCCTATTATTCCGGAAGATATCAATTTAGAAATTTCAGTTTTGCAAGACAACAAGGCCCATGGTCTCTACTCATCTCCAGTTAGGCTGCTGAAATTAGCAAAAAGGGTCATATCCGTACCTCTAGCCACGATTTTTAATCAGTCTATTTGCTCAGGGATTTTTCCATCTAAACTAAAGTGTGCTAAGATTATCCCGATATTTAAGGACGAAGATGACACGCTGCCCGAAAACTACCGACCTATTTCTCTGCTCTCGATTTATAACAGGATTTTTGAAAAACTTATGCACTCCAAAGTTACCAAGTTTGTCAAAGATTGCAACATTCTCTATGATCAGCAATACGGTTTTCGCAGTAAGCACAGTACTCAGCATGCTGTACTTGATATTGTTAACACAATTCTCCAAAACATGGACAACGGTAAATTTTCGTGCGGTGTTTTCATCGATCTCAAAAAGGCTTTTGATACTGTTAACCATGAAATTTTGTTAGCTAAACTTGAAAATTATGGTATTAGAGGTGTAATAAACTCCTGGTTCAGATCATACCTGACTGATCGGAAGCAAACCACGGAAGTTAATAATGTTGTGTCTGAGGCTGAAACGACCTTTGCGGCGTGCCACAAGGCTCAGTCCTCGGACCACTCTTATTCCTACTGTACATCAATGATATTTACAAGTCCTCTTCGTTATTTGCCTTTTATCTATTTGCTGACGATACTAGTATAATACTTGCAAATAACAACCTAAAGGAACTCGAAACACTTGTTAATCGCGAGCTTGGCAACGTCAACGAATGGCTAAAGGCCAACAAACTGTCCTTGAACATAAAAAAATCAAATTTTGTAATCTTTCGTCCCCGGCAAAAGAATATGCCCTTCATACCTAGGATTAGAATTTTTGACTCCGTGACTAACACCTACGCAAACCTTGAAATGAAAGATTATGTAAAATACCTTGGCTTAATGATTGATTCAAATCTTTCATGGAAATACCACATCGAATCTGTCTGTCACAAAATCAGCAAGTCGATAGGAATTATAGCTAAAATTCGACATTATGTCCCGCGTCGTGTTTTAACTCATTAATTGTCCCTTACTTGACTTATGGTATTTGTGGTTGGGGAAATTGTGCCTTGACATTTCAACGAAAGATCGTAACTCTACAAAAACGGGCCTTACGTCTCATTTACTTCAGTAAGTCTAAGGAACACGCCGTACCCTTCTTTCTCAAATCAAATTGCCTTCCCCCGCCTAGCATATTTTTCAGAGAT